CACGGTTTTTTGCTTGCCTCGGGCACAAAAGGAGCTGGCTACGGCTATGCTCCCGCGGTGCTTGTGCGGCTGCCGGCTGAATGTGTCAGACGCTGCAGATGGAAAGGGGCAGGACACCTCTCCCCATGTGCAACGTCGGCCACACGAGCACCATGGGAGGACAGGACGCACTGGAATGTAAGCCGGCCGACTCCCTGCGTTCAGGTGCGGGAGGGGGGGTGGGGTTGTATTGAAGTCAATGGCACCGCAGCCATGCCCCCCGCCCACAGTGCGAGCACCTGCAACGCAGGCACATAAGTGCCTGCATTCCGGTCCAGTGCGATCTGCAAAAATACTGCTTGCAGCATTTTTGCGGATAGCACTGGACTGGAACGCAGGTACTAATGTGCCTGGGCTCCGGGTGCAGGCGATCGCACCACGGGCGAGGGGCCTGCCTGAGGTGCCATTGACTTCAATACAACCCCACACCCCCTCCCGCACCTGAACGCAGGTGTTTTTTCGTTGGTAGATCTCATTGAGCTCGTCATTTGAAAAGTAGATCTCCAATGAAAAATTGTGGGCGCCCCTGTTCTAGAGTCTCAGGATTAAGCAACTAGGAAAGGTAAACTAGCATCTGGGATATTGTTAGGCTCCACCACCCACCTTCTATAGCCATAACCCTGTACCCATCTGGGGATCATAACACACATTTTTAGAGTAAGATGGTTTGTATCTGGATCATATCTGCATGTCTGACTCCTCCCAAGTGTCTATAAGAGAAAAAAAAATATATAGCAGAAGAGTTTCGACTTTAATGTTAGAGTGCACTGAAGACTTAAGGAACGGATGGAGTTTTCATCCGTTTACATAACTTTACATAATTTGAAGCTTCTGTAACTTTAAACAGAACTGTAGCTACTGGACTGTTTGGTAATGGTTAAAAAATAATAATATTGCATACTGCAATACATTGTTTTGTTGTCATCCTGTCCAGTATTGCAGGCTTGTGGTTCATGCAAAAATGGAAAAAATCTGGCTCATTATTACAGCTGACATGTCGTGACCACTCAGATCCTCGACAAACCTTCCTGTACAAACTAAGCAAGAAACCAGGTATTTCTTTGGCTTTGTAATGATCCTTTCAGCTATTGGAAATGTTTAAAAGTGCCCGTCTGAAACTAGTTTTTAAACACAGTTGACCCATGGCTAAATAAATTTCAGATGCTTCAAAACCAAAGGTGTTCAAAGCCATATCATTTTAATTCTAAAGCAGCCAGAGCCTAGAAAATACTAGGGTAGAAAATCCTGTGCCCTGCCAGTAGCTGCAGAGTTGGACCATTGTTCTGTGTGAGAAAGCAGTGGTCTCACTGCAGAGGTCTGACATGCCCATGATTGATCTAGACCTATAGCTCCGTAATGTCCCTGGAGCTTGAGGAGCTAAGGCTCTAACTCGGCATTAGGTGTGTCGGATCTCTGTATCGTGCTGGCAGGATGCAGGCTTTTCTATTGTGGCTTATTTTAAAGTAAAAAACTGTAAGACTATCTTTTATTTTGATGTACCTGAAAGCACTTGAGTTCCAATATAAATGTCATAGACTTTATTTGGTTAACATCAACCAATTTTACATGCATGTATGTGGGCACTTCCCCTCTCTAGCTCCTCCTGGGTGGGCCTGGTGCCAGGGTGGTGAGCAGGAGCAGATAAGGGAATATCTGGGATTAGGGATTAATTTGTGGTTTGTGTGTATTAAAATACACTATAGTGTATTTGTTTCCTGAAAATGTAGTTTTGCGCAATTCTGCTGCCACCATTTTTTATTTTACAGGGCCTCTGTTTTAGAAAAGATATAATTTTTTGGAGGTTTTAATCGATTCTTCAGCAAAATATGCCGATATTAACGTGTATGAGAAATATATACTTATACACTTTGTATACAAATATATCATGTATAATTGCTCCAGACACATAAGGGGGAATATAACAAAACTGGAGCAGACAGAATGACGAGCAGTTCTCCATAGCAACCAATCAGTTTCTCCCTTTTAATTTTTAAAGTTTAACTGAACAAACTGAAGAGAGAAGCTGATTGGTTGCTATGGGCAACTGCTCCAGATTCCAATCCCTCCACTGGCTTCCACTTGCCCAAAGGATACATTGAAAATATTAACCACTTACAAAGCCATCCACAACTCTGCCCTCAGCTATATCTCAAACCTGGTCTCAAAGTATCACCTTAACCGTCCCCTCCGCTCTTCCAAAGACCTCCTGCTTTCCAGCTCCCTTCTCAGCTCCCCCCCATGCTTGCCTTCAGGACTTCTTTAGAGTCTCTCCCATCCTCTGGAACTCTTTACCCCAACCTGTTCATCTACCTCCCACTCTGGCTGCCTTTAGGTGATCCCTCAAGCTTATCCCATCTCACCCTAACCACTGAACCATTATGTTCTCAAAAAGTCCATACCCACACAGCTACCTCCTCATGTAGCACTTGCCCCTCCCTTTTAGATTGTAAGCCATCACAGGCAGGGTCCTCCTTACCATCTTGTCTTGAATTGTATTGTGATTGTAATGTCTTCCTTATATTGTGCTGTGCTAACTGTTGGAGCTATATAAATCCTGTATTATAATAAATCTGTCTGCTTCAGTTTTGATAAATTCCCCCTATAGCGGTTAAACTAAAGTTCAGTTAGGCTTTCATTTTTTAATTTTTTTTGTTAGAACTACCAACTCTTACTTCCCTATACAACGAGTGACTCTTAATGGCCTTTGAGAAACCCTTACTAGAGAGAGGGAGGTCAGTTAGTGGGGCTAAGCACTGAAGTCAGGACATACAGCTCCAGTAATAGTGATAAACTAGTTCAATAGAAGGACTCTTGTATGATTGGTGAAGATAGTTTCCCATTGAAATACATTCTGAGCAGATGTTTTTCAGCATATTTATCAGCTCAAAATGTATGAAGCATTTAGTGATCATATGTTATGTGGGAACTGTTAGCGTTAACATTTGAGTGAAGCCTTATAAGCCATGGTGTCTTCCAATTGTTAATCTTAAAATGACTATACACAAGCAGATATGGTTTCTCAGAACATTTGTTAACAACAGATGTAATGTGAGGGCCTGCCTAAGAAATCTATAAATGTAGCGTGAAGGACTACCTAATCTGGTGGTCCATCATACTACATGGTTGTAAGTAATGTTTTAGCCTGAGAGACTACGCCTAAAATAAAGTCTAAAGCATTAAAGTGCCCCTTTTCCCAGTCCAAGCAGTGTTTAAATACATTTTGGAAAAAAAACAATTGTTATGCTATTTATTGTTTTTTTTCTTTTCTCAGGTCTGGAACACTTCAGAAATGTGGTTCTGGTCAGTTCCCTACAGGATCGATATGTACCCTATCACTCTGCTCGCATTGAAATGTGCAAAACTGCTCTTAAGGACAAACAGTCAGGTGGGAAACTTGTACAGGAGCTCACATTGTTGAAGGTTACAGTACATCTTATAAAACAGTACAGATACATAATGAATACTACTTCTAATTAATGCTGTTTACTTTCAAATGACTATATTTACAACTGGCATTCTCAAACTGTTATTTAGTTCTAGAAAATAGAAATAAGGAAGAAGCATTTCTAAAGTTAAACAAACATACTGGGGGAATTTATCAAAACTGGAGCAGTTGCTCATGGCAACCAATCAGCTTCTCTCTTCAGTTTGTTCAGCTAAGCTTTTAAAATGAAAGAGAGAAGCTGATTGGTTACCGTAAACAACTGCTCCAGCTTGCCTGCTCAAATTTTGATACATTTCGCTCGCTGTACTTTTGCAGATCTAGTGCTGTAAGCTTGCAAAGTAAAGTTTGCCTTTACCCATGCTGCTGTCTGCCTGTCTACTTGTCTGGGCTCTTTGGTTAGTTGTACATCTAGACTGGAAAAGTTTACGTTGCAAGAAGGTTCAACTCACCACCCCCTATCCAAAACAAATTTCTGATTCAGAGACCTCCAAGTCTAGTCCTGGAGAGTCCATTGTTGAGTCACCTGCCAAGGACTAAATTTTACAAAGAGTTTCTAATCTTGACAATACAGTACAGTACGTGTTACTTTTGAATTTAGAGGGCCAGCCTTCTGTTTCAGGCGTAGGGTCTATTAGAGCTCCCACAGTTGCAAAGACCATTTGATTATACCCAGGGGAACTTGCTGGGACACTGTTGGATTTCCCCTAAGGGTGATAGTTTAAGTTGGCAGGCCTTTATGGGTAAGTGGTGAGTCCTCCTTCTGGAGCCGACCTGCAGCCTTTTGGGGATGTCTCCTTAGAGTCCATCTTTTCTTCTGTCCTTAATCAGGTAGACGTTTCTACTACTAGCATTGGTATTGCTACCCCTTGGTAGAGAATGGTACTACCCTCAGGGGTAAATGTGTTGATTCTTAGAATCATATAGTTGGTAACCATTTAGACAGTTTACAGTTTGTTCTGTCGCACCCTAGGAACATCTGCGGATGTTTGAGTGGAATGAACCCCTCTCTTCCTTCTGATCCTGGTGTTTATATACATTAGTCTGGGTTACGGTATGCCCTCATCCCTTCCTTCCTTTGGTGTGGTTATTGTTTTCACCCAACCATATAATTTACAAGGGTCCAGATTTAGTAAATCTTTTTATCAGTCTTGTGGGTCATTCCCTTCTAACCATCGTAATGTTATGCAGATGATTATCATATTGGATATCTGATCAGGAAACATTTTCCATAATTATGGTCCTTCTCTTCCTAAAGTCGAAGGTTAGGAATGCCAGGCTTGGCAATTCAACCCCAGTCCAGTGTCCCAACCTCCTTTAGGCAGCACTGTAAGCCAACTGATTCAGAATTCCTTAATTCCTGCGTCTCTCAATGGAGTTCATTTTATTGTTTTTATAAATCCTTACCATAAAATATTTTTCTTGAAGTAAGGTTAAGGGGAAAATCTGATTTACTGGCTTCCATTCTAGTTCAGCCCAGCATTTTAGAAAATCTGATGGCAAAGCTGCATTGTGAACAGAAGCTCATGTTTTCTTCTTGCTCTGATTGGTCCAAAATATGTGCACATTTCTGCTTTTATTACATGTGCCTGACTAATTTATAATGGAATTTGACCTTGCATCAGATGGTCTGTGAACTGGTCTGTACCAGCAAATTGGGTTTTATTTCATAGCATGGCTCAAAGAGCAGGTCCCAATAAAAGACCACAACAGATGGCCTTTCAGTAGACTGATTGTGCTATAAATGTGAGCACCTGGTTTAATGCTGTATCTTAATGCGTATTACTCTTTGCATTACTACATAGACCAATTGGAATACGTTTGGGCAATCTTTAGAAATTAGTGACATAGTTATATACAGTTTTACATCAGTAAACATAAAGCAATGCTGAAAATAAGGCCATTAGTATTACCTTTTCCGTTGATATGTATCAGTATTAGCAGAGCACAGATAGCAAGTATCCTTTTATTTTACAGTGAATTAATTAATGCTGTTTTTGCAGGGCCAGTGTATGCGGAGATGATCCAAAACATCCTTCTACCAGTTCTGCAGAACAAAGACTGTAACCTAGTGCGGTACGACGTCATTCATGCGTTGCCCAATACAGCCAATTCTCTCATAGGACGAGCAGCGCACATCGCGGTTCTTGATTCTGAAGTATTTTTGGAAAAATTCTTTCTGGTCGCTGGCCTTAGATACTTCCAGTAGAAGGAAGAAAGACTGCCAGATGCTTATGTAATACCTCATTAACAATAAATCTCAAACTATGTGGTATTAAAGTGTTAGCTGCCATTGTATTTTGAGTTATATTTATAAATTGTTCACTTTTTTTCTCTCCTTTTACTGGAAGATAATTTATATCATCCAATTTGAAATACATTAGTGGTTTGTTAATTTATATTTATGGAAGTCATCACCACCTCCTACAAATTTTAAATCGGTTTACCATTTCAGAATACATCACAATATTTGTAAAGGCCTGGCTCAGTTGTTTTTACACAGTCTAGCAATGTCATTTTATGTACGCAGCTCTGTACCATGAATATGGTGGAGTTTAACCATCAGCTCAAAACAGAATTGCCTATCGATGTTATGTCCTGACACAAGCAAACTGATACACAAGGTCAGCTGGACTGACTATATGGTAACCCTCAACATGCTTCTAACATCCATTTGTCCCACAATAGATGTTAAAGGCATGGTGTGATGTTCCTTCCCTACATAATACATACTATATTTGTATGTGATGAAACTTGTTACTTTTATCACTGTATATGACAAGAGCCAGGCCATGTCGAAGACCATTTTAAAGCCGTGGGCAATGCTGTTCATTGGTTGTGTTGCAGTTCAACAAGTGTGACAGTACAGAGCTGTCTTACATGTACCAAAGTTACCTAAATGCTTATACTGGAAGTAGGCAAAGGGTTTAATGACTGCTGATTTTTAAGCCAACATGGCCTCTTTTTGTTTCATCTAATTATGGAGAATCTCATGCAATTCACATTGTATAGACATGAAATAATTGGCAGTATATGCTTCATTGGCAAAATAGACAACAGATATAGAGACCTTTACATGTGTTTTTATAGTGAATCAGTCTATGACAGTGTTGCAGAGCAGATTGCAGCCATGGAGAAATCGCATTTCCTTTTTAATTTCGTGGACATCCAACAGTTTGGCACCTTCTGTTTAAATATCCAGCTGTATAGCAGAAAGCTACGTAGACTTGTGATGTCTTTACACTACTCTGTGCCCGGATTTAGCATTATTGTAATATCAGTGTGGACACTGACAGACTCAGTGAAAATAGGCTACTTTATCTAACATGATCTAAGTGGACTGCTGCATGTCTAAGCATGCTTTTCTTAGAGAAAGAGTGCTTTTAGTCAGGGTTTTTATTAAAACATGCTAATCTGACCATTTTATGATAAAAAAAGAAAGCAGAACTCAAGGTCAAGAGCATGCTAACAGTATCCCTAATTTTTATAGCACAACATTGCTTTTTAGCAAATAGCCCTGCATTGTGGAAAACAATATTGTCTGTTTGCTTTCCACCTATAAATTTTATTTTACCTTAAATTTCTGCTGTGCTCTGCACAGTTAACTAAGCATATTGGACAAAGAATAGTACATAATTATTTGCATCACAGGCAAATCTCCATGGATCTTGCAAATTTTAAAAAACACCTTGTTATTGGTTGAGCCAAATGCAGTAATTATGTTGACAAAACTGCTATTTGTAGCCAGCGTAAAGGGGAGCCTGACAAGATAGTAATATGGGAACTGTCATTGCTGAGTTATATTTGACAGGCTGTCCACCTGATCCTGATATTTACTGCTCAATGATTTAGTGACCTGAAGCAAGGTTGTGCCTGATGTGCACATGCTTGATGTACAGCACAATGACTCAGTAAGAAGTGAAGGCTGCATCAGAGTAAGACCCCCGAAGCCCACACATTTAGAAACAAGTCAGTAGTTGCAGGTTTCTTGTTTTTTATTTTAAAACCTGAAAGCTCTGGCATTAGTCCCATTGAGTGAAATCACTTTACACCATATTTAGAATAATTGTTACCAGTTGAAGTTTCCCATGATATTATATACTTTCCCTGAGCTGTGCAGGGATGGAAGCACTGCCATAGCATCCTGTCCTTCTCAGTGGTATGATGCATTTATTACATGAAGTACTGAAAATGCTGCCTGTCTCTGCTATTAAGAATTATAGTGCCCAGGTTCCATCATTTGTAGCCATGGGGGTGACTAGGACTGCTTTGCTGAAAGACCTATGAAGGTTTGTGCATTTTCCCCTAGGTTTTGGGCTTCTTGGGTTATATAATACATTAAAATATGTATTTTATTTGATTTAGGAAACTATTTCAGTTATTTTATGCAGTTATAAAAACGCAGTGAACATAACCTGACGTAAAATGTTTCAAATGTAACAGTTGTATTAAAGTGCAGACACCTTGCGGTTCTTCAGATGCCTTTGTTAGTCTTCTAATAGATCCCTGTGTAGCCCCCTTGGATCCTAGGTTCAGAAAAGTTGTGATTAAGCATCCAGATGCTAAGGTCTGCCCCTGTTATTCAGCTGTCAAATACCACTGCCTCTACTGCCACTGCAGAGAATGACAGGGCAGGCTTAATGTGAGATTGGGGCCATAAAGAGCCCCTTTACAGTCTGTGTCTAGGATCCAAAAAGGTTCCACAGGAATACAATGATTAGACTAAGACTAGCACTTGCAGACACTCCATGATGTCTCCACTTAAAGTGACCCTAAATGTAGGAGTTACATCTTAAAATGCACTCAAGTTCCCCAATTAACAAAAATGTATTTTATTTGTGTATCACTCGGCTGTAGATCCTCAAATCATCTCTGTATTCATGCTGACACTGTCCTTCCTTCCGGAGGGTGGCTACTTTTGTTCCCCATGGTCCCTGTGTGTGTTTTAAAGTAGCCACTGATCCAAGCTTACTCCTGTGATGGACTACAATCTCATGTTTAGTTTACTAATTTGTATTGAGATTGTAGTCCATCACAGGAGTAAACTTTGTTCAGTGGCTACTTTTCAACACACAGGGACCATGGGGAACAAATGTAGCCACCCTCCACAAGGAAGGACAGTGTCGGCACCAATTCAGAGATGATTTGAGGATCTACAGCCGAGTGATACACAAATAAGATACATTTTTGTTAATGGTTCAGGTACTTAAATGCATTTTCTAAGATATAACACCTGAGTTTAGTGTCACTTTATTCACTGTTGTTACTTTTAAGACCTTTTCAGTTCCAGTCTTGTTTTTATAACTAGACATTGAATTAGATTTCTAAATTAAATACCTTATTTCATTTATTAAAGAACTTACAATATTAATGAAGCTCTTAAATGACCCTAACGGGAAAAAAATACATGAGGTGGTCCTTGTTGAACAGCCTTCAGTTGCAAGTTTCTTGTTTTATAGAAAGCATGAAAGCCCCCTTGGTTTCCACTCTTGGGGTGGTCTGTTAAACAGTAGTGCGCACTTTGGAGGTTATGTAAACATGACCTGGCTATGAGCAAGCCACAGAACTATGACTTCCATATATCTGCATTGATGGTGCTTTAAGTGCACCTATCCTGTAGGCTTTATCAATTGTGTTTTGAATGTTTATTTTCTTTTTCCTTTGGCAAAATCCAAGACAATATCAGCTTCGCTTTTGTCCCACATGATTTGAGCTTGATCTACATAATCTAGTAGGTTCTTCTTGTCATCACTAGATACGTTTCTGTAATGGTACCTTACTACCACACACACAAATTGTTTCTGACTCCTCTTTACTAATGGCTGCAATGAATTTGTAAGGACACATGATTTTTCCTTTCGGTAATGTTTTGGGACCTCGAACTGGAAAACCTTAGCTGCTACATTTGTCAGTGATGCTCTGAAAATATCATTGTCATATCCTTCTTTTGTTTGGTCATGTAAACATCGAGGTTTTATTTATTCATGACCTCGCTTTAATGTGAACCTGTCACCAGTCACAGTAAATGCAGGTGTTATGGGAGCTAATCCAGAATGTTTACTCTTTGTAGGAACTACGGAGATCACTGATGCATGTGACCCATTGTACCTATGTGATCTTTATAGTGTCTGCTGAATTGATGGGCAAATATTGGTAAAGCATGTAAAATGGCTTCGCTTTATGTTGGTTGACAGGTACTGTGAGTACTGGAATGACAAAGTACTGATGGTTTTTGCATTACTTATAACCATTGCCTTTCCAACCATATTTACCAAAACCCTCCCATGTAGTATTTTCTTGTATCCTCTAGAACATCTAAAATTATTGCAATAGCCTCCTGTGTTTGTCCAAGAGAGGTTATATTAACACGTAAAGCATTGTACATACTCCGAATGTGCGTGGAACAATAATAGCCTGTTTGGTGATTGGATAAAATGTCTTTTTTTCATATTGAAGAATGTTCAAGGTCTGTTGACTCTCACTATTGGTGCTTAATAGCTCTGAAGAACAATATTTTCATGCTAATGTGTTGGGGATTTATGCACTGACGATAAAAGCTGTGTATTTGTAATTATTGGACTTTTTTTTTGTCTAAATATAAATATGTGTAAAATGAATGCATGTGTATAAGTATCAATCTGTTACTGCTTTTGGTTTTAATGGATGCCTAAATATAAAAAAAAAATAGATATATTTTCTTTCCCAAACCTTGATCATGTTCAGAATTCCACTTAATGGAAATAAAATGGAGACTGCCATTGATATATTTTTTACTTGTATGTTTAATGTATTCTTGCTTGTAATCATTGAACCAATAGACAGTAGTTTGAAGTCTACCAATTCATGGAAATGGTGGCCAACTCAGAGGCAAGTTCTTCTTACTTCAGAGATGTTACTGGTTTCTAGTGGACTAATTGCTGACCTATTGCTTAGGACACAACATGGCGGCCTCTATTGAGAGGACAGACACACTTATCACTTCCTGGTTTCGAGCAGAAGCTGTAAAACTATACTTCATCTGGTAACAATACTGGTTTTTAAGCATGGCCATTAAAATGTTTCTCCCTTCAAACCATTGTATTTTTCAACCCATCAAGCTCTCTAAAATTGGAACAGTGGCAGTTTTGTTTATTAGAGGCTATGGAAGACAGAGACCCCTCTGATACAACATGGAGATATCCTGAGTGGAAACCGGGGAGCCTCTTTAAATGTAATTCTTGATATCCATATTGCCAAAATCATGTGCAGAGAAAGATGGAAAGGAGCTGGCTTCTGAAAACTCTTGCTGCATTGGAAATGTTCAGATTTGACTCCAATTGAATTCGGTCTCTCAGCAGTCTCCCAGTTCTGATTTGTTTGACATACAAGGTGCAATCTTTAGCACACCTTTTGTCCTGTGGAATTAATGGATAGGTTTTAATTGTCCTGTTTGTGTTTTAACATTGTTTTGTAATTATTTAAATGCATTTGTATGTTTTCTAACATTTTGGAGATGATTTTTGAAGTTGAGCATAGCGGTATAATCCTCTTATGGTTGACTGTGATCTGCAAAGTGAAATCATTAGTTTCAGTCTCATAGATTCAATCATCCCAATAAAATATTTCACTTTTTACCTGCGGTTGTTTATTTTATTAAGAATTCTTGTCTTTTCATTCTGTTTAAATGGTGGCGCAATTCTACTCAAATTGCTGCAGCTACATCAAGAGTTATGTGCTGGGAGGCTGGACGACCTGGTGATTCCTGGATGATGTTCATCAAAAGTTAAGAAAATAAATAGTTTTCCATGATTTTATAACAGTTTTGTTATGGAAAGATCCAAACGGATGCATCCAAATGGTGCTGGGACTTGAATGGTAATTCATACAGAAGAGTAAAGGTAAAACAGTCATTTGGAAAGCTTACTGGCTTTGGTTAGGTGGCTCACATGAAAAACAGGGTTACCCTCTGATGAGTACCCAGGAAGGTCACTCAAAACATGAACCAAAGGAGTGCCAGACCAAATTTATAAAGGAGTCCAAAATAACTTTAATGATTCATAAAACTGCTAATGCGTTTCGGGGGCAAGAAGCACTCCCATCCTTAGGGCTTTTGTACAGAAGCATTGATGAAGGAAGAGTAGTTCTTGGCCCGAAATGTATTTAGTTGTTTTATGAGTGATTTAAGATATTTTTGACTCTTTTATGAATTTGGTTTCACACATTTTTTTGTTTTTGTTTGGTTCAATCTTTATATAGAAATATGTCTGTCTTTAAAGCAGAACTCTGGGGATTATTTTTTAAAATATAAACCCTTGCAGTGGGGCTACCCCCGCACTGCAAGGGTTAACTGATCGTTTTGGGCTAACAGTGTGTTGGTAGCAGATGGTGGTGGTAGCCCCACTGCAAGGCTTAATAAAAATTTCTTTAAAATTACTTTTTCTACACAAACACATTTCTTGCCACCATCCCATTTTAATTTTGGGGAAAAAAATCTGCATAAATATTTTGCTACAGTGCCCCCCCAACCCCCAAACCCCCCCCAGACATTATCAATAGTGATGGGTTTGTGCCAGGCTCAGTTAAAGAACATTAAAGATATACATTGTATTACATGAAACATATTTTAACATATAAAAGGAGAATGAATAAAAGTAAGATTCCGGTCTATAGAAACCTGTAGATTTCCAGAACATGTTACATGGCAGATGACAAAAGATGTTTGTCCTTTCCTAAATGGGATTATAATTACATGAGCACAAAGTTGTTGTTTTTTCCAGTAAATGCTTATAAAATACACTGAGCTTTGTTTGCATGTATATTAATATTTATTATTCCAAATGCAGTTTTAGTTACATAGCAACCCTGTGTATCAGGTGAACATGGACTTGTCTTAAGTTATCATTACAAAGAGCAATGCACAGTAACTTACAGCAGCCAATCACAATTAATTCCATTCACACCAGCCCAGTACAAGATGGATTGTAATTGCTTGTCGTGCATATAACACTTTGCTCCATGGGGTATTTTGTTGACTATGTGTGTTATTATTTCATGAGGCCACGCCTGTGTACATTCTGAATAGATTCACATTGTTTGTCCATTTAACCATTGTCACAGAGACAAAGGAAATGCAACATTTTACAGCTGTCACCAGAACGAGAGTTGAGAGTACATTTTTCAATGTGGACACCTGTTCCTGTATTAGAGGGAAATTCTCATTGCTTTGGAGACATTCTCTCTTGTCGCATCTCTGGGGCAGGAAGTCAAGAGAAACCGCCCCAGTGGGGCTCTCGTTTTAACCTGCCTGTACTCTATTCAAAATTAAAAAAAAAGGTTTTGGCTTTATATTCACTTGTAAAGTGTATCTATGGTCAAAAACTAAAAATACATTTATTTCTATATGGAATTTCCATAAGTTCTATCCCACTCCTAATAACCATCTCACTCTAGAAGTTTGTAAACTTAGTGAAGGTCCCCATAGGATGCTGATACAATTTCGCTTCCTTGTGTCAACTATTAGAAGTCTGCCTTCTGAACTACAACTCAACATCTGATCAATGTAACATTATGATTGCTTGCTGGCAGCAATGCATTATGGGATATTGAGATTACATCACATCAAGCAGCAGGGAAAGAGACGCAAAGCACACTAGGAATCCGGGAAGTGGTTGAAAATGATGGGCAGACAGAATGCAGCACTCACTACATCCACTACTGGGACATGACTCCTTTAACAGTCATAAAATTAATGGGTATTACAATTTAGAATCTCTGTGTGTTTGTAAGGGAGTTAGTTTGTTTTTCACCGTGCAATAAATGACACGGTTTGTCTCTTCTGCCATAAAACCCCTTTAGGGGCCTGTTCACAAAAAGACAAAACAATTTGCCATGTTTTCAATCAGTTCACACACTGTGCTGAAAAAATATATGGCATGCAGTACTTTTGTTCAGTGCAGCACATTGTGACCCAATACATGGCATTGCACTGTGGCTGATGGAACTAAATAAAATGTTACTTTGTGACATTTCAATAAAGTTGTAACAAAAAAAAGGGTTACAGTGCTATGCATGTGGACACCACAGCTTTCACAGCTCACACCATGGGCTGAATTCTAACACCGCTGCTGGTTGTGGTGTGAACAGGGCCCTAAAACTCGCTATCACTAACCTCCCTAGCCACTTGTACTAAGAAACAATTCTCTAAAATAAAGACTCTATAAAGTTCACTTTCTAACAGGCTACATGCACCCAGTGCAGGGGTGGGCAACTCCAGCTCCCTAGCTGTGCTTTAACTACAAATCCCAAAATGTCTCTGCCTCTGGGAGTCATACCTGTGGCTGTCTGTCTTGCAAAGCCTCATGGGACTTGTATTCCACAACAGCTGGAGGGCCGGACTTGCCCACCCTTATTTATAAACGTTCTGCTGGGCGGATGGTGTTTGCATAGAACTTGTGTCCCTACATGTGTGAATGGCAGAACTTTTGTAAATGAACCCCTAGTGCTTTGTTCACATTAGAAGACTGACAGGTTGCTGACATAGAAATGGATAGGGAAAAAAATATTTCAGTGTCTCGGTTGTGATCTTTGAAGATGATTTTTCTGACCTTGCTCTCACAGGCTCCAAGACTGGTGCCCGCAGCCTCTTCTCCTCTCCCATCAGGTGCGTGGAGGCACGCTGACATCATCACGTACAATGCTGGGTCCATATCACCACTGCAAGGGTAGTTTTTAATTTAACCTGGAGATTAACCCCTTCGTGACTGACGACGTACAGTGTACGTCGCCAGCATCGGGGCTGTTTAAACAGACTCCCGGCGACTTTTGCCGCCGGGAGTCTGTTTAAACTTGTAGAGCCGACTGTATGAGGAACACAGGAATCCATCTAGTGGTAAGGATACTGTGCAAACGACATTCAGCCAGCGTATATATGTTTTTCTATATCGCTGTGTATCATATACAATTGGCATTTTATTTTTCTCTTAAACAATGTTTTCACCTTGTTTTTTGTATCTCAGCGCTGCAGCCCTTTTCAGCCACTTCCTGTAACAGGCCCGCTGTACAACATTGTTGTGGCAGGCTTCCTGTTACAAAGGTGGCCTATGCTTGCACAATGTGTGTTGGCTCTGCTGCTTGTAGTCTTCACTAAGGAAGCATATGGCAGGGTGACAACACAGAGATGCAAATAGATAATTGGGACGAAGTGTTGTCATTCCATAACAGCAGATATCCCAACTCTCCCGGACGTTACGGGAGTCTCCCGTTATTAGATAGCGGCTCCTGGCCACCTGGGAGATGAACATTTTCTCCCGGAAAGGTTTACTCTGCTCGATCTAGCAGGGTAAACCTTTCCCTGCTGGTTTTTTTCTTTCTGACAACGGGGTGCCGGCCGCCGTCAGTCAAGAGGAAAAAAAAACCCCCAGCAAAGGAATGAATAGCTAGGCTTCTATTGGATACTGCAATAGCCAATAGCATACTAGCTATTGCACCTGCCCACTGCTGCTGTCAATCAGCAACGGTGGACCTGAAGTTCTCCATCAGGTCCTCCCCTGTTGATTGACAGGGGCATTGGGCTGGTGCAATAGCCAGCTTACTATTGAAGAATAAAATAGCCAATAGCAATCTAGCTATTCTTTCCTATGCTGTTTAGCAGGTATAAGGACTCTGGGACATGGGGGCTGTACACATATTTCCGGTGTATTTCCCTCCTGGGAAACCACAGGTGTCTTGTACAGCAGCCCATAGACTTTAAAAGCATATATCCGCCACTGATGTCTATGTGTAGCTGTAGTAATGGGGCATGTGACAAAGTAACTAAGCACAGCAGTTTCCATTGTGTAGTATAGTATAGTAGAATCATGTGTAAACACCGCCGCTCTGGCTCAGTGATCATCCTTTATCACGCAGCGATCCAGCTGTGAAGTCCGCTACATCCTGATATATAAACATAGGAAGCCAGGAAGAAGGAGCGCCAGCCAATGAGATGACAGCACTTATCAACCAATCAGCGGACAGCATTGGCCGGGCACAGACACAGGAAGAGGCGGTGCTGGGGGTCGATAATAGAGAAGAATGAGTGCTGTGAGAGGAATGGTGGGTCGGTGGAGTCGCTGTGTCCTCGGGGTGATAAACGAGCATTTGGCCGCACGGCCCTCCCAGTGTGAGTTCCAGCTACTGGCACAGCACACTATAGTCTTCTTCTATGTGACATTCTAAATGACTTGCACAGCACACCATGATTACCACTGTGAGATGGGAGCCGAGCTTACGTCACATGATTTCCTTGCATGGATGTTGTGTAATAAATGACTTGTATGTTCATGGGAGCTCAGTACAACTCAGAGTGGAGAGGGATTGGAACTCCTGCCTGGTTTTATTGCTGTTTGTGTCTCTATATCCCTCATCAAGAGTGAAAGTGCAGATTTTGAGTAGTGTTTATAACAGATGACATTAGTTCTGGTGACCACCAGGGATTCCCCTCACTTTTGAGGGATTTCCTCTCACTTCCTGTTGTGGATATTGTGCAGGAAGTGAACACAAAATGTCCCCAATGGCAAAAAAAAGACCCATACAGGAGTTATAGCAACCCCTTGCTCTATCCACAAGGGGGTTGTGAGTTTTGGCTCTAGTGTAAAGCCTTTTTCCTGGTAAAGAAAATTCCCTTTCAGTGGGATTATTGCTGCACTTCAAGGGTTAACTGATCATTTTTGGGGGGGAAATTGGGTACAGCATTTCTCTTACCTGATTCCTGCTCTCCAGTGGCCGGTGCTCACCTTGTCTCCTCTTAAAGGAGAACTATGAGGTCAGTGTTTTTCCCCATAGTTCTCCTAAGGGTAACGGGAGGACACAAACTAGCGTCCTCCCGTTACCCTAAGCTCAGTATACCGCGAGATTGTGAACTGTCCCTCAGGGTCTTCATCTATAATGTGGGGCTGAGGGTTCTGCATTGTAAGTGATGACAAGAGTGGGCCTCTGACTGCTGGAGTACAGGAGGGGGTAGAGGTAGCTGGCATCGCTCTTGGAGCCAGCGAGTGGGAATCAGATAAGTAAAAGTCCTTTACTCCACTACCTCCTAGATAAAAATGACCATTAAACCCTTGCAGTGCAGGTACAGCCCCTCTGTAATGGGGGCTTTTATTTCCCAGAGATGGGCTTCAATGCCTATCACATTGGGATGTTTAGATACCAAGTACAGATACTCATCCAGCTCCAAGACTAGACTAGAGGAAAACTCCAAAGTTAGACGGCAAAGTTTTCTTATTTTAACATTTTTGTGTGGAGTGCAGCTTTAATGTAAAGCCTGGTTCAGTTCCTGGCTGTGTTCACACATGTTTGGCACCATCATGACCACATTGCTGGTAATTTGGTATTCTGAGAACACTATGGGTGTCATTTATAAATCTTTCCCATGGCAAGCAACTATGGGCACAGGATTTGTAACTTATAATGGACACTAGATGGAGCCGAGGAGGAAAGGAAATGACTAGGCTCCAGCTATTGGCCACGATGCTTCATGAATTATCATTCCCATAGCTGTTAGACTAAGGGTATGATTTATAAATCAGAGCAGAGTCATGTAAATGTGCAGACGCACATGCTGTAGGCTCCATGCTGTTTCTGTGGGGGTTGGCAGTTACACAACACAGATTTGTACCAGGAAACTGCAGTCTTATCCAGCTTCCCACATGAACATTTGTAGAATCAAAGCTGCAGTGGATTACGCGAGGCTATGGTACATAGACTTTTTTACTTTAGCATAGCTGCAGATCATGCTTCATGGTGCAATGCTTTTCTGACATTCCTGTCATACCGATTCTAATAATAGATTGTTTGGCTAGCATGATTAGTACACCCTTGTGTATTAATGTAACACTAAACTCAGGAGTTAAACCTTCAAAATACATTCGGGTACCTTTAACTAGTAACAAAAATGTATCTTATTTGTGTATCGCTCGACTAGATCTTTAGGCTGGGTTCACACCTGAGCGTATTTTTTCTGCTCGTTTTTCAGCTCGTTTTTTTTTGCGTTTTTGAGCACGGCCACTCGCAAGGGACGGAAGTCGGCAGCCGCCGAAGACACAGCGGGGATCGCGGACAAGATAAGACCTGTACGCTGTATTCCCGAGTGTGGCTCGGGGTTACCGCTTTGTTAACCCCGATCCACACTCGGGGAATACCAATGGAAACGCGCAGCAAAACGCCCCAAAGAAGCTCCTGTACTTTTTTGGGCGTAGGGCGTTTTGCAGCGCGTTCCTACACGCTGTAAAACACCCAGTGGGAAGAATGCCCATAGGCAATCTGAGCG